GCAGTTTGCGGCTGTGGTGCTGTTCTCCGCTTCCTGGAGGCAGAGGGTAAAAGTTCTACGGCTTAGAGCATCTTGTGCCTTCATCTGACGGACCCTTCCCATAAAAGAGAAGGAGGGACAGAGGCTTAGAAAACCAACAGATTGAATGAAACAATAACACTGATACTGCAGGATAATGATGGAAATAGGAAAGAATGGAATATGTCCAGATATGTCCAGATAGAGATACAAACCAATCTAAAATCCTCCCTGGTGACCATGACGTCCCCAGAGGCTGTGGGAGCACTGGCAAAGTCCCAGTGTGGAGCCAGCAGCAGTGGCAGGGAGAGCCCCGGGGTCCTGAGCGGGCCCGACCCTGCTGAGCTTCCCAGCTCAGAGCTGAGCAGGATGAGGAGCACAGGGTTGAGGATGAGAGGCAGGCGAAGCAGCAGGGTCTGCTGGGCCTTGGGCCATTGCAGGGGTGGAGAGGGAAGGAAGGGGCCAAGCTGGAAGGGTGGAGCCCCTGGGGATCCCTGGGCTTTGCACTGAGTGTGGGTGTGTGGGATGCAATCCCTGGTTGGGCAGGGTTGGGTCTGCTCCTCCTGTAGGTGCAGCCACGGCAGCCATGGGGAGCCAGTGGCCTTGCCATGTTTCCATCCCATGCCAGCGCTATCACTTGGAGCAGTGAGCACTGCTGTTAAACCGTGCTGCTGGTTCCAGCAAGTTCAGCCCCTGAGCTGAAAAGTGAAATCACTGAAGAGAAAATCAGTTCTGGTTGGCTCAAACCAGGACAAGAAGGCTCAGGGGAATCTTGCTAATGTGTTTAAATATCAGATGGAGCAGGGGGGAAGATGGAGCTAGACTGTTCTGCAATTGAAATTTGTTATGGAATTGAAACTCCATTTAAATGTTGAGAAAAAAATTGGTTTTAATGTGAGTGCAGTCAAACACTGGAACAGGCTGCACAGAGAGGCTGTGGAGTCTCCATCCTTGGAGATGAAAGTGGCCCAGATTTGGTTGACCTTTGAAGTCGTTTCCAGTCTGAACTATGGGCTGCTTCTGTAGAAAATATTTCTGTGTGAATGTGAAAACTTAGAGTAAGGGTGATGTCTGGTGTCGTTGTTGAGGAGGTAATCAATGTCCAGAGGTGTTCAACCTGGAAAGTGAATGTAGCTTCAGTCTATTAGAAGCAGAACTCTCTACCTCTTGCTTCTCAAGTGAAAGAAAAAAGCAAGAAAAGAGAAGAAAGTAAAAATTTATATGAATATATGCAGTGAATTTATTTTATTGATAGTTATGACCAAGGGTCAAATACCTCAACTGCTTTTTTTGTGTGAAGGATCTGGTTGCTGCATATTTATTTTCTGTCCTTTGGAGACAAGCAGAAGGTAAAATAAAGACTTTTCCACCTAGAAAATTTGGGAAAATGAATGAAAAGAGTGAAAGAGCTGCCCTATATTGGTTCATACTGTGGTATCAGCAGATGTAGTCTGCAGTAAAAGTGATACAGGGATTACCTCACGGTGTCTAAGAATTTAATTTGCCCATGGAAAATTACTGATTAATGAAACATCGAAGAGATCTCGACGAGGAAAGGTCTTTATTTTGGGACATGAAGGGATTGCCATTTCGAATGTCTTAATACAGATGTCACGAAAGTTAAAGCTGAGGGTAGCTTTAAGATCCGGATTGCGTGCTGAGCATGAGCCGTGTAAATCAATCCTTTCATCCACCCACAACATTTACTCCTCTATCCCGTTACCTGACTAATAGTGGCAACTACTGGTGTATTGGCACAAGGGAGGGCTGGGTAAGGGGTTTTTTTTAGGTTAATGGGCTGTGAGAGCTGGAGGTTTCACCGTTTGCACCGCGTGCCTCGGGCTGGTACAGCCAGTGGCGCGTGTGAGCCATGTCCTGGACGCACTGGTTCTCCCGAAGAAGCTGCTCCTGCTGGTCTCTCAGTTGAAGTTCGGTTTCCTTCAGGATTTTCGAGTATTGGACGAGGCTGTGCAATTCCCTGCGCAGATGCCAATTCTCCGCCTTCACTTGCTTGATGTACTGGATTAGAGATTGTACTGCTGCTGCTTCTGCCGTCTTGGTGAGAACCTGGGTCTTCTGCTGAAATTCCGTCTCGCAGTCAGCCTTGGCCCGCAGAAACTTCCTCTCGACTTCGTGCACCTGGTCCGCGTGCTGCACCTTTGTGGCCAGCAATTCCTTCTCCAGGGCTTTAACCTTCTTCTTCTGTTCCAGCTCATCTTTGACAGACTGCAAGTCTTCAACCTCCTTGCTTATAAGGTCGCACTTGGTCTCCAAGCTCGTCAGCTTGTCCCTTAGCTCCTTCTCTTTTTCCGTGTACCGGGAGATGGTCTTCTCTTGCTCCTTCCGGACTTGAGACAGATTCATGTGATACTGGTCATTTAGAGTTATTATCAGATTCTCACACTTCCAACTGTGATTTGTTATGTAGGAGAGGTAAAAATTGCTGTCTTCCTGATTCTGTTGGGCTTCCTTTTCTAGGAGCCTATTTTCCTGCAGATAATGCTCCAGCATTCTCGTGTAGGTGTTCATATGTTCAGTGAGAATCTTGTATTCGTTCTGCAAGTACAATTTCCTCTCTTGGGCAAGCATTTCCATGTTGCTTATTCCTTTGGATTTGTCTCCATTCTTGGTTCTGGCTCCTTGCTTATCTTTCCCCGTGCTCGTGATGTCTCTTTTCGTCTGCTTGGTCTTGGGTGCCATGTTCCACACCGGGGGTATCAAACTCTGGCAAACTGCGACAGAATAAAAAACATCACAAATTCTAAGTTATCATTTTTTGCCACCTGAGTGACCGTTGCGTTTTTCCTCAGTCGTGCCCTCTTATGTTCTTAAGCTTTCAGCCGCTTATCCTGGCAGCTAAAATGTTTGACCTAAAATATTTCATGCCTGGCCTAGGTCTTGAGTCAAAGGACATGTGCACATCTGTGCAATATTCTGTGATTCTGGGTATTTGAATGTTTACTTTCCTAGTTAACTGGGAAGACGTAGTTCTGCTAATCTAAAAAAGACACATTTTAATATTTATTTTTTCGTATTTTTTTTCATTAATACTAATAATTCTAATTTTCTAGAATGTTTTGTCATCTCTGGAGTATGAAATGAAATTCCACTGGCAAATTCTTACGGCTGTACCTTGTGTGCTGTCTGTCTGCAGGCAATAGGTCTTGGCAACAAAACTT